GAATAAGAAGAGCGAGCGGAGGCCGGGGCCGAATTTTCGGAGCCCACATCAGGTTCGATTCTCAGGGAAGACAAGCGCGGGAGCAGGCGGGTTGGCGCACTCGGGATCGGGTTGGCTCACGCGTTGGCGGTACGGCGCGACATCGGTCTGGCGGGCACGGTCTAAAGGCTGGCGCCGGCACGTGGTAGTGCGGGCAAATCAACGCTGGTAGCGCGGTGGTGGGCTCGGTTCTAGCACGCGGGATCGGAGTGGCTGGCCGGAGCGGGGTTTTTTTTTTTTTAATAATCTGACCGACGGTTTATGACCGCCGGAATAATTTGCCGCCGGTAAAAACCGCCGGAATTTATTTTCCTACGCCGTTTTTACCGGCGGTAAATTAACCGCCGGAAAACTACAAAACCGCCGGAAAAGGTTCAATTTCCGCCGGAACAAGCCACCGGAAATGAGTGATTTTTCTGTAGTGTAAGAGTTAAAAAATAATGAAGCCAATGTGAAGAAAACAAATTAATCAAATGAATGTACTCTAGGGTAATCAATAGTAATCCAGGTTAGAGTGATTGTGCATTCTAAGAAAAAATCAAAGTCAAGTGACCACTTGTTGATTCTCATACCCTTTAATGCTTTAGATCAAATATGTAAGTTTGCTTTGGACGAGGAAAATCTCAAACTTGAGGAGATTAGAGCGGATGTACTACATGCTAAACACAAATCAACCATTATAAGTGTGAAGTCAAAAGGTGGGCAGGTCTCTAAGGGGCAAGGACAAAGAGGCTATGTCGAGGCAAGAAGAAGCATGAAAGCATGAGGTTGTACCCGCATGAGAACCTACTAGAGGGGGTGCCAAAAGTAGTAGAGGAAGCAACACTAGAAAATGGTTCGATTAAGCAACGTTGTCAAGGATTGGGGCTTCAAGAAAGGATGTGTTTCCAAAGGAGAAACCATTTTATGTTAATGAAGCTAAGAGGACTTTAACATCTACTATATCTCATTAAGAGAAGAACACTAATGACTGAAACGTCCAATAGGAAAAATCGAACCAAAATCAATGAGGGTAATCAATTGCTTTGAAGCTCTTTGTGAGAAAACTAGGTGTTGATGAGTCTAAAAGCAAATACATCAAAATTGACAGACAATCCAAAATTGAAGATTCGGATATGAGGAGGAAAAAAATGAATAACATTTTATATATATGAGTGTTATACTTTTGTACAATAAATTTATATATGCACTCAAATTATATAAATTGAAGAACAACTTTTATATGATATTGGAAAAAATGTTAGAGCCCTTAATCTTTTTCAAAAATAAAAAATAATTAAAAGAAATATAATATCAAACTAAAACAATAAAAAAAAATTGCTTTATCGTTAAATCGATAAGAATCAAATGAGCTGATTAGTGGGATCCACCAACCGCATAGGACCTCTCTCCCACTTGCCCCCTCTCAACCTAACCCTATAATCACTCACCTTCCACCTCATAAACCCTAGTTCACGACATTTTAAATAGCATCACATCACCATCATCATTATATCACATATCATATCATAAATACTACTCTTCTTTCCCCACGCACACCCACGCTCTCCTCTCTCTCTCTCTCTCTCTCTCTCTCTCTCTCTCTCGCTTAGCTCAATATTATATACATATATCCTCGAGTGCAGTGGAAGCTCTCCCCTTCTCTTTGTCCCTCCATCGTCTCCTTTGCTTCCTCTTCAGTGGTTCCACGTTCTTTCTATATTCCCCTCCTCCACTGCTTCTGTTCATCCTTCTTTATTCAATCTAAATCATAAAAAATCCATTTTTATAACATTAATTTCCTGCCCCTTTTTATTCTATATTTTTTCCCATGGATGTAACCATGGCGGGCCTTGATCTAGGCACCGCCTCCCGTTTTATGAGCCATCTCCACCACCTTCCTGACCTCCATCTCCAACACCAAAACCCCGACACTTCCGACGAAAACCATAAAAACAACACCAATCAACTAGCCGGCGGCGATAACGCTCAAGCCCTTGAACTAATTTCTTCCGGCGACCTAGCAGGGCGGCGACCGCGTGGACGCCCGCCAGGCTCCAAAAATAAGCCAAAGCCACCGGTGATCATAACGCGGGAAAGCGCGAACACACTCCGTGCACATATACTAGAGATCGGCGCCGGCTGCGATGTCTTTGACTGCGTCGCCACCTATGCGCGCCGTCGGCAGCGCGGCATCTGTGTACTTAGCGGCAGCGGAACAGTTACTAAAGTCAGCCTTCGCCAACCTTCCTCATCCGGAGCTGTCGTGGCGCTTCACGGACGGTTTGAGATCTTATCTCTATCGGGTTCGTTTCTACCTCCACCGGCACCGCCTGGAGCCACAAGCCTCTCTATCTTTCTAGCCGGTGGACAGGGGCAAGTAGTCGGAGGAAACGTCGTCGGAGAGCTTTTCGCCGCTGGGCCGGTGATAGTTATTGCGGCTTCGTTCACCAACGTGGCATACGAGCGGCTGCCGCTCGAGGAAGAAGATCTGCAGCCGCCGCAGCTGCAGAGCTCCGCTGGAGATGAAGGAAACAACGGGAATCCGTTTCCTGAATCGGCGGCGGCGGGATTGCCCTTCTTTAATCTACCGCTTAACATGGCGGGTCAGTTGCCGGTCGGAGGAGGGCATGGTTGGACCGGGGATGGAACGACTAACCGGCCGCCGCAATTTTAACAGTCGGGAAAAAGGAATTAATTTCTGCAGAGAAGAAGAAGGCCTGAAACTGGAAAGAGGAAAGATAAGAAAGGTTAGCTCGCAATTTTAAGGAAATGATCCGTTCTTGTACACTGGCTGACTTGTTTTTCCTTTTTTTTTTCTGATTTCTTCTTCGGCTCTCCCGTATTTGGCGAGGTTTATTGTGGTTTTATGCAGTTTATTTTGTTTAGTTTTTTGTTTAATACCTCTTAATTAATACTATAATCTGATGTTTTAATGTGAATTTTATAATCTTTTTAGTTTTTCAGTTTGACTTACATTAATAAGATTTTTTTTTCTTCTATTTTAAAATTGGATTAGATTTTAATTAATTGTGAAAGTAAAATTTTATGAATACGATTTTTTAATTTGCGCAGTGAGAGGATTGGTATTGGTTAGTGATCCCACGTGTGTGCACGTTCTTGACATAAAAGAAATACTTCAGGCTTATTCCTTTTGTGAATCTCTCTCTCTCTCTCTCTCTCTCTCTCTCTCTCTCTGTATGTCTGTGTATGTGTGTGGTTTCTGTTGCATTAAAATTAGATAAGATCTCCATGAATTTGTTGAGCATGAGAGAGGATCTCTTCTCAAGCTTACAGGAAAGCTAGTTATGCTCACAATCAGGCTTATTCCTTTTGTGAATCTCTGCCTCTCTCTCTCTCTCTCTCTCTCTCTCTCTCTCTCTCTCTCTCTCTCTCTCTCTCTCTCTCTCTCTCTTCGCCTCTGTATATCTGTGTATCTGTGTGGTTTCTGTTGCATTAAAATTAGATAAGATCTCCATGAAATTGTTGAGCATGAGAGAGGATATCCTTTCAAGCTTACAGGAAAGTTATGCTCCTTTTTAATGGTGTGTTAACTTCTACAATCATGGAGACTCAAATGTTCTTAATTGTGAAACTTTTAACCATGAGAGGTTTGGGAAACAAGAAGGATTAGTCATTTAGTCTCATAAATCTTTATATATTACGCAACCTAAGCTTTAGCTTCAGCTCAAACAAGAATAAAATTTGAATGAACATCTTGACTCGATTGAATAGTCAAAAATTCTTATAAGGGCATAAGAAAGATTATTTGAAATGCATGTAGAGCTAGCTGGTTTTCCGAAATTTGGTGTTTTTTGTTGTGTTTCAGGATCTCTGAACAGAATGGTTTCATTATCAACACACTTCTAGAAACTTAACATTTTCATTTTTGTTTATATTGTTTCATCACTTTTTTAAACTTTTAATCAATATATTTTTAAATATTTTGTGGCCAAAGATAAATATTTAATTATTTTTGTGCAAATTGTGATTGTAACTATAATTACACAAAAAAATTGCGCTATTTTATTGCTATTGAATGTTTAAAAATGTAATTAAAGTTGTCTCATTAGCAAAATTTAAAAAAAAATGTTATTAAATATTATTAATAATAATTTGATAGAATATTGCTTAACATTTTAGTATTGTATGATATTAATTCACCATTCAAAGGAATGTTATAATGCCCAACTTTAACAAGATTGAGAAATACACACTCTAATCATGTAGTTACTGAAAATTGTTCACTTCTTCTTCCTACACTAACATTTATTATTTTCTGCTGTAATAGAAAATTTTGTTGGTAGTTATTATCATTACTAAAATTATTGATTTTTGAACTATTATAAAGGATAATTTAAATTTGAATCTTATGATCTTATGAATGTTTTCGAAACATAGCATTTGCATTGAAATTCTAAATTCGAATGATATAATTTAGTAATTCATTCAAAATCTTGTGTGCTGATTCAGATATAGACTAATCATATGGCATTGCAATGCATTTTGTATAATATTTGATTATAAATAGTTAATGATTAATAATTTCTCTTAGTACTTACTTGTATTAGATAAAAAATAATTAATTTTAAACTGCTAACAATGGAAATAATCATGTTAAAATCTAATCATTCAAAGAATTTTTTTGGTATTTGGCATATTTTAATGAGTGTTTACTAACATCTGAAATATCATATTACATTGAAAAATATTCAATGTTTCATCTATTTAAAACATGTACACTATTTTAGATATATAAATAGATGATAGATTTCCCATATAGATGTCTATTATATCAACACTATAGAAGCTTAAGAGAATATGATGATCTAAACATTCTGGAGCTAGCCACTTTAGACCACCAAGATAGGGACTTTCAAACTCTCTAATGTTTGGAGAATCTACGTAGAGTGGAGGGATGAAATCGACGAATTTGGTATAGGAGTATAATCGAAGATATAGGAAGAATAACGGGATTGAGGAGACTCATGAGAGACAAATAAACTCCATAAAGAAGGGAAATGTATATATAAAGAGAAAGAAGCATGAGAAAAACTTTAGAAGGTCCTCACATTTAATTCATCATAAACTCTCATGTTGAATTACAAGACTTTGAGCTCTATTTATAAAGATCAAAATCAATATCCTATCAAAAACAAAATCCTAAATAACATAAATTTATACCTAAAAATTATCCAAAAAGTTAATACATCCAAAAATTAAAGGAATTTAATTTTTTCTTATTTTAAAATAAATTAAATAATAAATTTTTAATCTTTGTGGGATATCATATCTCTTGAGCATGACTAAGAATAATAATTGGGAGTGTTGAATGTTATTGAAAGAAAAACAAAAAACCCTCCTATTAATTGCATTATAAAGCTTGTAAAATTCATCCTAAAGAATCAATGAAGAAAAAAAAACTCCATCATGAGAAAGAAGAGCGTAATCCAACTTGGTTAAAGTACTAACTAATTAAACATGACTCAAGTACTGATTGATTGAAATAGACCCCTTTTTTATTGAATTTATGGGTTGTCATTTATAAAGATGCAATTTAAAGTACAACTCTAAATGTAATATATGTTAGTGAAAGTGAGCATAAGGGTAAGCAAATTAAATTGCTCAATGAAGAGGATGTATGTGATGGAGGGCTTGTAAGATAAGTGAAAAATGGACAATGAAGTAGTATTACGTACAGCTGAGTTTTCATATGATGAAATGATATTTGTGGGATGAAAGAGGCTACAATGGTGGAACATGTACTAGAGGTGGAATTTGAGAAAGAGAAAGTGAATACTAAATTAAAGTATGATAGTTGTTGTCAGAGGAGTATGGCATCAAATTAGAGAGAGGACTCAAAGTGTGCAAGGTTGGCTTTAGAAGGAAGAATATAAGATATATACTGGCCATTGAAGCCATTGGACACTCTAAGGAATAAATTAGTAGGTATAATTTATCTTTATGGTAGCAAGTGAGTAGAGGAACAAGAAATTCAAGAGATATATATGTTATTGAAGTTTGTATGGGAGATTGAGATTTATAGTTTTATGAATATGACTGCACTACAAGAAGTAGCTAGAGGGCTCAAGTAATCACGTGTCACAACGTAGTGGGGGATTCAATGTGTGATGGAGGAGGAGAGGACAAGATTCAAAAGACATGATCATGTCATGCGTGTGGCAAAGGAGTCATACGAAGACTAGGATGGTTCACATATAGAGAAGATTAGTGTGTAATGAGGAATTAGAAAACTTACATGTTATGAGGAGGGCATAAGTTTGTGCTTGGACTCTGTTATTAATTGATATAAAGTTCTGCAAAGAAGAAAAATAAATAAATAAGAAGAATGATGACTATAAATAGAACTAGAGAAAAAGATAAAAGGAGATTGATGAGATATAAGAATGAACACTCAAAGGGAGGGGGTTTTAGGATAAAGAGGATGAATCATGATAGAAATCCTAAAAGGGAGAGAAATCCAAAAGGAAAAACCTAAAAAAACTCTCTTTAAATCATCATAAGATCTTCATCATGTTGAATTATATATAAGACTTTGGCCCTTTTAATAGAAATATGGCTACATAGATAAGATCAAATTTAAGGTAATCTTATCTAAAACTTGATCTTTAACAATTCAAAATCAAATAAAAGGGAATTGATGAGATAGATGGAAAAACACCTCTAATGGAGGGAGATATGAGGTAAAGTTGAAGCATAAGAAAATCCTTAAAGATAGATAAGTTCTTGTTATGTGTGGAATCTGATTGTGCTGATCAATCTGGTTGTTCTGTTGTCTCGAACCCTAAAACTTATCATGTTCATTGGGGGTTTAGGGGGTTTACGTACGCCCTACTTGGGTTTGGGTGCTCTGCACCCGAAATTTTTTTTTTTTCATATATACAATGCCCCCGCTCTGCTCACCCGAGTGCACTGACGCTACATACCCGAGCACCGCATGACTGCTACACGAGCGCCCTGGCGCTGAACGACAGAGAGCAAAACGCTGCAGCGGCATAGATACGGCGCTGCACCGAATCAAGACAAAGGTTCTAGCACTGCAGGTCTTCAAACTAGCGTTGCGAGACAGACTATATGTTTTTCTTTCTCGTTTTCTGAAGGGTTGCGTCCCTTGGAGTTTATTTACTTGATTTTCTATTGTATTTTCAGTTAGGAAAAAAGTGAGAACAGTGCATGTAAGAAGAGAAACAATGAGAGAGAGAGAGATATATATATATATAATATATTTGTACTTTTTTCTTCCAATTTTCATAGTGGATTTCTTGGTGTGGTGTGACTCCGTGATTTTCTTCCCTATTTTAAGTTTTTCCACATTAAATGCCGATGTCCTCAAAGGGAATAACAAAAGAAACGCTCTCTTCGAATCATTATAAATTGTTGATCATGTTAAATTACAAGAAATTTGTCATATTTATAATAGAAATATGGCTGCAAGATAAGATCAAATCAAAGATAATCTTATCAAAAAATAAAATCTTTAACAATTCAAAATTAAACCTAAGATTATCCAAAAAATAATTCACCTAAAAATAAATAAATTCAAAAACCACTAATTTAAAATAAAATAACAAAAATAAATCATTAACTTGTATTATTTTTAATCGATCAAAATTAATTAGGGGGGCCACTTGTACATGATTAGTTCAATCACTACAA